GTGACCCCAGTGTTTTATCCGGAAGTCATATCCTTTCCGATGGAGCGAGGGTGCTGATGCGACAGAAGAATCAAGCGCGAACACAGCAATGGAGAGAGATCGACGAGGTAGGTCGTAGGATGGTAGGATAGGTGTATTGCGATGAGAAACTAGTCAAGACAACGGCATGATCTTGTTTTTTTTTCTCCAGGCAGGCCAACGCGCCCTCACGCGATGCGCACGAGAGAAGACAGAAATAGTTATGTGTCGAGTGTTGATGTGGATGCGCGGATGAAGATCAGGCGGAATGACAGTTTAGAGTACCATGGACGGGAGTTGAGTGGCAGCGGGGATGGTAGGATCCGGCGCGCGTAGAGCGAGATTTGGGAGGGCGGGAAGGAGAAGATTGGCGGGCGGAGTCGGAGTCGGGAGTTTGCGGTGGTGGTGGTGGTGGATGATGGACGGTTTGGTGGGAGCTGAAAGAGTGGGAATTAATTAGTGGTGAAGATCGGACAAGTCGTGGGTGGCGCTGATGGGAGGAGGGAAGATGCTAGTTGGATAAGCTTGCACGGCAGGGAGGGAGAGGAGAGGAGAAGAGAAGAAAGAAAGAGAATTCGTGAAGAGACAAGCAACTGAGGGGGGTAAGTTCAGGGAGGGAGATCTTTTATTGTTCGTGGGAAACGAGAAAGAACAGCAAGAAAGTCTCGGGATGGAGAGTGAATATGAATAATAATATGGATTATTTGCTGATGGGCGAAAATGGGGAGGACCAAACAAGCCGGGAATGGAGACGTATCCAGACCAGTCCAGCGCCGGGTCTGGCCAGCGCGGGGGTTGAGTTCACGCCGGGAAAAAATACCAGGGAGAACATACCCACCCTGACGGTCCGATAATGACTAACTCCCTCTCCTTCACCACCCAGTTTTTATTTTTTTTGTTTTATTTTTTCCTTTTATTTTTTTGCTTTTATTTTTATTTCTATTTATTTGTTTACTCTTTGGGATATGGTTTGAATTTACTTATCTACCAGTCTTTACCACTACTGAAGATATCAAGCAGGAGGGTCAGACTAACACTGAGAGAGAAAAGAGTAAATAGGAGATGGTGAGATACAAAGCACGACATTCATCCCGTACTCACGCAGGACTATCCCAGTCCAATCTTCATTCGTCGTATTAAATTTTTATTAATCTTAATATTATTCATTCCATCAGCAGTCAATTTAAAAGAAATAGAAAAACAAAATAAGACCGAAAAAGAAAAAAAAAGAAAAGAATAATAATCTTCTCAATCAGCAGACTTCAAAAAGCAGCATCCAAAGCAGCTAGTCTGGTCCGACCGCATCGAGTGGAGGATTCCCAATCGGGGCCAAGACCCAACCAAAATTTCAGCAGTAATGAATGAATGAATGAATGAATGCTTGCCTGTTGCTCACTTTTCTTTTCCCAAAAATTATTTAGTATACTTATTTTTAAACTGAACCCTCTGTCTTGTTTTTACTTAATGCTTTTTAATTAGTAACAAATAATTTATTTTCGCTATATTTCATGTAACCATAATGGAGTGAGTCCATTCAGGCAAAAAGCAAAACCCCCCTCTCCATGAGGTGAATCAGAAAAAGTAGAAAAGAAGAGAAAAGAAAATCAGCATTTAGGAGAAAACACACACCCTAAGAGAGACAAGCCCAGCCGCGCCCGGACAGGCCCAGGACGTTCCGCCGGTATTATTGAAAGGAACCATTGGCAACAAACTTTCCTACCTGACTGAACCTTACCAGTCACTCAGTCTGTCTCTTGTCTCTCTGTCTCTCCCTCGCTCACCCTGAACCACACCCGGATGGAGCCATTCTCCCGGTCCAACCACCCCCAGCGCTACTGACTATCGACCACTTAAGCCTAGCCTAGCATTTCCTAAGCTAAGCCGAACCAACGACGACGGCTCGCTAAAACACACTGAACCAGTCCCAGAATCCCAATCCCTCGACGCCTGATCAACGGCAACGTGGTTGACAGGGCTCATCCAGGCGCCCAAGCTGTTCCGTTCCACCTTTGGCGCTTCCCACGGTCGAGGGGGGCGACTCGGTTAGTCGGCCACCAAATCCTCCACTGAACGGTTGCAGAGATAGCTATCGCTGATAATAGATACTCTTATTACGGAGTAAATGGATGATCAATAATCTACAATCTACTCCTGAAGAGCAGGGAACTCTCAATCATTCCAGTAATTTCCCATTTCCCCCTCAATATCCTCCCGATGAGACGAGATATGGACACGATTCTTGTCATCTCGCCCGGCAAATAGAATCGTCCAGACCCTCTTCTGCAGATGGACTTGACCCTAAAAGGGCCAGAATCAATGGTGCCAGAAAACCGGTTAGCCCTCCCAGGACCTCTTTTGGGTCTAGTCGCTCCCGCCGTATTGTTTATCCAATCTCAAACTGCCTTTTCACTGTGATTTCGCTGATTGCCCCCTTTGGCAGCTTCTCAGGTAACAAAACAAAGTCACTGTACTTTACACCGTACTTCTGTTCTTTCCCTTCTCCACATCCTCCCCTTCCCTTTGATTTTAAATTTTCTTATTTCCCCCTCTCCCATTACTCCATACGGATCTTGGGATCGTAAAAACTAGGTTGGCTGTATGTATGTATATAGATAGGCATGTGGAGCGCCGTCCCGGCTGGTCGATCGGCCACCCCGACCCAACAGGGAATGCTGGCCGCTGTTGCCCTATTTGGTGGAGTTTAGAATAAGCTTAGCCCTCTGCGTCGGGGGTAGCGATCACAGACGAGGGGAAGGAGGGAAAAGGAGGGGGATGGTTTCTCCAGATCGACGGTGGATGGTCGGGAGAATTAACAACGATCAGAATGATGGCACGGATAGAGACGCGTCCACCCAGGGTTCATCTCTCAGGACACCAGGGGAGAAGAGGGGCCGAATAGGAAGCAGGAGCAAAAGAGGGCCAGCGAACAGGCCATTTACGGAGGACACGCCATGGCCAATCGACGTGGACCGGCAGCAATCAACACCAAACCAGAGAATCAAAAATCAAGATACAAAATACCAAACGAACAGAGAAAAAACAAAAAGAAGCGAAAAAGCAAAGCACGGGGGACCCGAAAAGGGGCAGGCAAGCGATCGTTGCTCCTTGCGTCGAGGAATGCATGACAGATGCCGGGCGGTGGAGGACACAGCTGAGGCTGATCGGGTCGGGGCGAGAGGATGGGGGAGGGGGGAAGCAGGAAGTAAGCCATGGCGGTCCCTCAATGCTGGTAAGCATCATAATTCTTGGAAGTCATAATTATTAGAAACATTATCGGCAATAATTAGCTGGCAGGGCACAGCTACACTGGCAGCTGGGGGAGAAGATACATAGTAGATTATTCTTAGCAGAACAGCCCGCGACCGGCCGATGTACGGAGAATTACTTGGGTATAGCTCGACGGGGAGATCCACCAATGGAACATTCTATGTCCTGGGGAGGGAAGATGGCCCAGTATGGTATCCAATGACTTGCTGATACAAGATAAAGATATCACTAATTGAAATGCTCCCAGATTTGGATGAAACAATATCGGGACCCGAAGGGAAAGGTGGTTTTCGATCCACGGTTGATGGTTTTTTTGTTTTTCTGGTACCTCGTATCCGTCGGCCATCGACTGCTCTGGCCTGGGCCCTGCTCTGCTCGCACGGACACTGCGTCCCGGCCCTCATCCCAATGCACTTGCGCAGAAAAAAAAACCCATTCTCCGTCAAAGGCAAACGGTCCCTGGTCCGCTTCTTCCATTCCACGGCCAAGGTCACCTGTTCTTTCTCCTGGGACCCTGGCTCTGACGGGGGGCAGTCCCCCCGATCGTTTGAATCGCTGGAGGATGAGATTCCAATCATTCTGTCCCATTCCTCCGAGGATCCCCCTCAACTTCCAATACGAGCGCATATTGGACTGACCACGATAGGGTTGTTGGCACTTGTCAGTCAGTCCTGCGGGTGTACTCATTCATTCATTCCCCCGGGGAAGGAAGAACCAAGCGATAGGTAGGAATTGGCCTGACCAAAGTTTCGCAAATCTTGGACCAGCGCTACTGATTGGTGGATAGGTCCGTGTCTGGCAGTATACTTGCTCAGTACTCAGTACTCCGTAACTAGCATCTATCTAACTACATACTACTTGGCTTTAGTCTGGGTGATTACTCCCATACAGACGGTCGGTATGAATATTTTACCTGCTCTGTTTGTGTTTACCCAGGTGGTACAACGTCGATACGCCCGGTACTAGCGCCTTGGAAGAGAGTCTGCACTGGCTGGCTCGGGCTTCGGGTGTGGCCCACTATCCCCATCCGGGCGTTAGCGTCGACTCTTCCCTCCGTGACGCCCCACCTGACTTGCCTGGCTGGTCGGCCTGCATCTTGGGACAAGATAGCCGGCCATTCAGGCGCCAGTCTTGCTTGACACGCGCAAGCTGTACACCTACACTCCCTCGGTCACTTACTCTGTTCTGTTCATGAGAAATCCAGAGAACTTGAACGATAAACTACACTTTCTTGGTGCGTAGCTTATTAGTATACTTGGTATTGGTGTTTTGGTATGGAAACACCCCTCTGTCTCTGCTTGTTGTGTACTTCAGGTATGGATAGCCTCGGATGGCTTCAGCATGGCTTCGTCAACCAGGTCAACCTTAATCACCGCCATCCGCGCTGGTGTCAACAGTCGGGTTTCAAATCAATCCGCTGAAGAAACGCATATGCAAGCCCCGTGGACTAGATGCCAACCACCGCAGTCATTGGTTCCCGCGGAAGGTTGCCAGACGAGAAGGATCCGTGGAGACCTACCTATCAACGAACCTCTCCCCGGCCTAGGATTACCGCTAAATAAGGCCCCAGTCCAAGGTACTTACCTACTGGAGGAGGAGGCTACTGCCTCCTTGGGTAGTACCTGGGTTCACCTCCTCCTCCTTCTCCTCTCCCCCCATGTCCTGGGTAGTGCGTGACCAGACTGCGCAAACAAAGAGGCGCCGGAAATCACAAGCTTGGCCTCTTCTCCCTGGAACCTAACGGTCCACCATCTCTAGCCTTTCCCGACGGGAGGCGCGGCCAGCACCAGCCTGTCGGTATTGGCGGGGGGGTTAGGGGTCGGTAGATCGAGGGCGGTGGCGGCCACGGTGACAGACGCATTAATAATAATCACCAAGCAAACTGTCTTCATCCAAGCCTCCCTCCCTCTCGACACCCATATCCAGCCAGTCATCCCATTTTATCCTCCGTACGCATGCTACGCCATGCCATGCCACGCCATGCTGTACCCTCTCGGCAGTGTCTCGCAAGGGGGTCTCTCCTTGCCATTACGAACAAAAATTCAATCCCCCCGGTCCGGACAAACAAACCCTGCCCGGAAGCTACTCCTGTGGAACTTGGTGCGACCTACATAGACAGGGGGGTTCGATGGGTCAACTTGTAGCCAATGTGATCTGTGCATCGTCGATCAAGCACATCGTTATGACCAGTCTTTTTGCCCCCTTCATTCAGTCGCCATCGCAGCGTAGAGCCTGCGAGATTATAGCCAGGAGGACTAACAGCCGACTAAACGTATTGAATTAGCAATGACTCTGACTAGATACCCACTAAACCAACCGGTGGTCTCCCTAGCCGCTCAGGAGAGCTGCTAGTGTGCATTGGCCTCGAAAAGGGTCTGCTCGGACGTTATCCGTCTGCAAGCTAGGAGATAGATAGGAGATAGCAGCAGCCGGCCGATTCCACACCGTACTTACCACCGCGACAGTGACTATAGTAGATTACGTGCTGTCGCTGTTATCCCTTTCCAATCATGACAGACTCAGTTTACTTCAATAATATCTACGAAGTACTAAGTGAGATGGCGTCGTCAACCCGACCGGGATGGACAACATGTGATAGGCTCATAGCTATCTCTCTTGTCACGGTGTTCCTTGCGCCCGTCTCCTAACCTTGCTGTCAACCTAGTTTTATACTTTTTCGTTCCGGCTGGGGGGGAAGGAAGGGGGGCCAAGAGAGGTGCTTATTCGCGCTAAACCAGCGAACATGATTTACCTACACATCAGGCTTGGCTGCGTGGGTGTGTTGCTGCTGATAGGTGGACTGTCACGGACGAGGTGAATCATCAAACGAACTTAAAAATACGGGGGAGGAGGATAGGAGAGATATCACAGTTTGCAGGTTACACATGGAGTGTATCAGATGTCGCGGGCTGACACATTAACCACTCAGCTTATGGAGTGGCGAACTCAATTATGGAAGTTTTTATAACGTAGTGTTAAAAGAATCAGCGTAGACTAAACATAAGTACCAACTTGAGTTTATACACCAAATCGCATACACAATTCTAGATATGTTCCGAAAAAAAGGTTGAGCCATGGGTGACTGACTAGCGGCGGCAACTGTAAATGACAGCTTTGCTATGTTCAATTCCACCACAACTCTATCTATCAAAGTTTAAGACAGTCGGCCTTAAGCCTCAAACGCCAACACGTATTCAACTGGATTCGGGATCTGCGGGATATGCTTAATGATTACAACCTTTTAGATCATACTAACAACCATTCTACCTGAGAAATCAAGTCATTAAGCCACCACGCCATCACCACCACGAAACAGGATTCTTCCATTTCCATCTTCAATGGCACGACAACAGACTTCACAGAAAGGAGAGAAGAGACGAGGCTCGAGCTCAGACTCCGTCCGAAAAAGCTTGAAGCGGATTCAGTTTTACGAGCCTTACGCCATCCGGCGGGATGCAACGTAGCTAGTAGCCTAAGGGAGTTGTTTATTTGTTTGTATCTTTCCTGACGGGTCAATCCATGTAAAGTAAACTAAGAAACTAAAGTATAAATACATTAATCACTCATAGTTGAGTAGTGTACTTTGTTCATATAGTTTTGTTGTGGATGAAGTGAAATTGTGGTCTAGAAGAATAGCAAGTTAGTTATTTGTAGGTCGCCATTAGTCAGTTACCTCGGAGTCGGACATGCCCACTGAAGGGAATGACTCGCCTGGGGATAATCATGATCACTTACCCATTGATGATGGGGAAGTGAGTGAATGAGCTAGTTTGATGCAAAGAAGGCTAGCTAGCTAGCCTCGCATCCTTCAGGAGCTTACTCCTTATTCATCTTAGTACCATACACTCATACACTCATACACTCATACACACTTCAAGTAAGCAAGCACCATCGCATTCCCTCATGCAAGGCGTCAGTCAGTCATTCAGTCAGTCAGTCAATGCGCGATAAACCCAACTAACTAGACTAATTACTTTCTACCTACCTACCAGGTGATCAATCCCTCTTCCTTAGTACATTCCACTCACTAAAAAATCCCCCCTATTCAATCACCCTCCCACCCCCATCACTAACTACCTCTGCCCGGTTATCTTACCGACACACCACTTACCCAACTAGTCACGTACATACATACACACTATCCATGCATGTCAGCCAATGCTCCGTCCGCTCCACTTCTCTTTTTCTTTCCTCTTTTTACCCTTCACGCAGTCTAGTAACTTACAATTACAATCAAACCCCGGATCCCGAGCAATCAAGCAAGTAAGCGATTCGCCATTACACTACACTACCCTAGCCAACTAACTAACTAGTCTCTCCCCATGCCTAGACTAGCTCGCCTAATCATCCGAGCGCCATGGCGAAAAGCCCGAGCCAGTGCTGCAGGAAGCTTGATCTAGCTAGCTAGCTAGTTATAACTAGCATAGTTGGTATCTATGGTACGGATTGGCTTGGCTTGGCCTTATGGGGAGAGGGGGTGGTGGTACTCCGTTCTTGTAGATATATTAGGAAGTGTTATAGTAGGTTGCTCCCGTGACACGGGTTTAGATCTTAGTAGGGGGTTGTATACATACTTAGGTGCGGAGGTGTCCGATGGTATGTATACACGGATACAACCTAGGCATGAGGTAGATGGAAAGACAGATTCACATGTTAAGGGAAGAAAGAGAGATGATAACGGGCCTGATCGGTCGGTCGGGGTTCGGTTCCCCTGAACTGAACTGACTGCAGTGATTGAATGAATGGAGCCCTGGTTTGTGCACACTATAAGTGGCTTTGTTATACAGTGGGAGCTACTACTTATAACAGGAGGTATCTCCGAGTCAGTCCGAGGGATAGTACGGAGTATAGGATGAATTTTGCTTCTCTCGCTTTGTTATCATGTTTCTATTCCTAGAATGTGTCTGTGTGTGTGTGGCAGTGATATGATTACTACTGTAAGATGAGTATTCATATTGATCTCGGACTATCGTAATCCGACATCCGATTTCAGTCGAGTCGAGTCGGTCCGATAAAGTATCTAGTTAGTGGGTGAGGTTGCGACGGGGGTGTACTACTCTGACAAAGAGATAAGTAGTAATCACTATATTTTATTTCGTGTAGTAGTATTAAGAGGGTGTTTATATTGGGGCAAGGTATTGGGGATTTCTCCTCCAATGGTTGTGTGGCCATACCATTGTCATTTATATATGTATGAGGTGCTGGTTGTGTAGTATCCTGACACCAAGTTGACACTATCATAATGTTGGTATCTCCGATGCATGTTGTAGACGGATACTCATAATAGTAAGTAGCCACATATCCACATCCCCAGTGTAGTCCCTAGTTACCCATCCACCATATCCACTGTAAACCCACATATATAGATGGCAAGTAATATACTGTTAGCAACACTTATCGCCACTCTACTTATTCATGTATTAACAAAAGCATCTACCTGCATGTTTCAGATGATTACTTATCGAGCGCATTCATTCATTCACACCGCCTCGGCTCTCTTCCAGCACCGTCTCAACTATCTACATACACCACTTTCTGAAGATAATATTCATCCAAAAAAAAAAAAAAAAAAAAAAAAAAACAATAATCCATCACCTCACACTACCAAATATATTCTATCCGTGTAAAAGAATCCCTGCCAAGCACACCAAGCCCCCCAAATCATGGATATATGAACATATTATGTCCCTCCGTACGAGCTTGGCAGCTTGGCAAGAAACCCTCATCAATCAATTATTATTATTATATATTCCAACATCAAGAAATAAATACCGAACCATACATACATACATACATACATACCATACACCATTACGAACTTACCTGAACTTGAATTAACTAAAATAAACAAATCTAAATCCGGCACGGAACTCACACCACTGCTGCAGCAATCGATCGATCACGAGATCGCTGCATCGCTGCATCGCTACTGCAAGCCTAATGTCTCTCTCTTTCTCTCTGTCTCTCGCTTGACTCTACCGGCCGAAGGAGAAACCCAAATAAAGGAAACTCGCATTCTAAGCTAGTGAGAATTTGGGGGTGGGAGAAAAAGTCCAGACCAGTCTAGACTCATGCATGCTTGGCAGTTGTGGTTAGGGAGGAATGCTGGGGGCGGGGAAGATGGAAAAGTAATTAGTTGGGTTAGACTGGACACACACATGCCATGCCTTGCCATGCTATGTTTGCTGTGTTAGGTGGAACATGAAGGGTCAGGGAAGGGGAATGTTTATTTTTGAAAGTAATCTGTGGGAGTAAGTAAATAAGTAAGTTGGTAAGAGGTAGGTAAACTGGGATTGAAGGCTGCGGCGCCCTGGTGGCTTTGATTGTGGTAGTTTATTTGTAGTCACAGGATATATCCAGTAATCACTCAGTGAATAGACTACTAGGCTGCTGCTGCTGCTTCTTCCTCCTCCTCAACATAAACATCATACTTGTACTTACTCCCTGGATGATCCGCTCTCAACTCCCTCTGTCCCTTTCCATACACCTTCTCTCTCGCCGTCAACCCTTCTCCCTCCTCATCCTCCGCAACAGCATCAGGATATAGGCCTCTCCTCCTCAACTCCGGCACCAACAACTCCACCACATCCTCAAACGTACCCGGAGTAGTCACATACCCCAAATTAAACCCATCCAGATCCGCCTCCCTCACCCACCGTTCCATCTCATCCGCCACCCTCTCCGGACTCCCCACCGCAACAGGCCCTAATCCCCCAATGGCCGCCTTCTCCGCCACGACCCGCGGCGTCCACCGCGGCACGTCCTCGCTGGTGGTGGTAAAAGCACTCAACTGACTCGTGACCTTATGCACCTCTAACGAGTCCGCCGCCGTGATATCCTGATCGATGGGGATCCGACTAATATCAATCCCCGTCCACCCGCTGAACAGAACCAGTCCGCCAATCACAGACGCGTACTTCTTCACTTCTTCATACTTAGCGTGCGCTTCCTCGTCCGTCCGTCCGATAATCGGCGTGAACGTCGCGAAGAACTTGATCGACGATGGATCCCGCCCTTGCTCGGCAGCTAGACGTCGGATGTTGGCGATCTTGGGCCGCAGGACGGTGGGCGAGTGGCTCGACACGAAGATCGCTTCGGCGTGTGTCGCCGCGAAGGATGACCCCGCTGCTGAAGTGCCAGCTTGAAAGAGGAATGGGGTCCGTTGCGGGGACGGGTCCACGATGTGGCGCGTGTTCAGGGTGAAGTATTTCCCCTTGTGGTTGATCTGGCGCACCTTGTCCGGGTCGACGTAGCTGTCGTTCTCTGGGTCCGGGTTGAGGGCGTCGGGCGCCCAGGAGGATTCCCAGAGTCTGTTGGATGATTCATATTAGTGGATGGAGGGAGGGTATAGGGGGGATGGAAGGTATGGGGGAGGCGTACTTGTACAGCACGCGCAGGTACTCGTCTGCTTGGCGGTATCGCTCGTCGTGCTCGATAGGCGTGTCAAGGCCAATGGCCTTGAAGGCTGCTTTCTTCCACGAGGTCACGATGTTCCAGCCGATGCGGCCGTTGGTGAGATGGTCTAGCGTGGAGAAGCGCTTGGCCAGGAGGAATGGCGGCTCGAAGGAGGTCGAGGCTGTGATTCCGAACGCGAGGTTTTTGGTCACGGCTGCCATGGCGGAGATGGGCTGTTCCGGTTGTCAGTATACATTTTGCAATGGGTGTAGGGGGGAGACATACAATCGTCGGATCAGTGACGGGCCACTGCGCTGCACGTCGGATGCACTCGTCTAGTTTGCCTTCGTACGTGTCGTATCCGCCGTATGTATCGGCCAGGAACAGAGCGTTGATGCCACCGCGCTCGAGGAGCTTGGCTAGGTTGATCCAGTAGTCTAGCTTGCGCTTCGTGGCTGACTTGTCGGCTGGGTTCTGTATGTGTCATGTCAGTATAGGAGCAGGATGTGGAGTTGAGATTCTCACCTTCCATTGTCCTGGGGACAGATGGCCCACGGTGGACATGTCAAAGGCATTGAGCAGGATCTGCTTCTTGCCATTTTGGCTGGTGTCTGTACTGATGTCTCCCATTGTGCTTTCTCTGAGGTAGTTGTATCAGTTTACTACTCTCATTCGAATGTAGCAGTGATATACTCTGGTGTGGTGTGAACCCCTCACCAATCCCGCCATCAGATGTAGCCATGGCGCAAGCGTGTTATCAGTGGGATGGACATGCAGGATACAAATTCGCCATTTTCCCCGCATCATGCGCGACACGATTTTAGTATTTCTATGAAACACTGTGCTCCGGTGCCGGGCGGTAGTGGATGCTGAGTCTACATCATATGCAGGTATATTGCGTGACAGCTAGATAAGATGGCTCAACATCTGATTGACTAATTCCTACCCCCTCTATCTTCACTTGGCGTCTATCCCTTCCCCATCAGTATACCTGTACTCGGCCTTAGGCCGTGCAACCTGCACAACAGCAGATCCAGACTCTCGCTCGTCTCGAGAAGCCCCGGAGTCCTCATCACTAGCAGCTATCGCGCGATCCCTAGACACATTAGCATCACCCAAACCGCAACCATCAAAGCAGACATACTCTCTCTCGATAAAGTACCTCGTAACGTGCGCCGACACAATCAAGCAGATCGCGCAAGCAAGCACAAACGAGTACCCCTTCGTGAACCTCGGCCCCTCGACCGTCGGGAACACCAACAGCGGCGTCCACGCCGTCGTAGACTGCGCAATCGTATTCAAGACAATCAAAACAATCGCCCTCTCATCCGGCGAATGGCGTATCTCACTATTAATCCACCCCATCAACACACTCGACATCGCCACCGACGAATACATCGTCGAGAAAGCAAACCACAGCGCCGACTCCGGCACATCCCAAATAACCTGAATCACCAGCCCAATGATATTCCACCCATGCGCCAGCGTAATCGCCCACGCGGGACCGAGCAGCAGATCCGACGCGAAGCACACCAACAGCGTGTAAAACATCCCCAGCCCGGGCGCGATCGCAAACAACTCATTGACTTTACTCGTCGAGTACCGATTCAGACTCTTCAACCAGAGAAGATACCCACCCGTGGTAGTTTGCACGCACGCGTTCCAGAAGAGAATGTCCACGCACAGCAGCGCCCAGGGCTTCCAGTTCCGTAGGACCCGTGCACACGTCTTCCATGAGACGCTGGATTCTTGGACCCCGTGTCCGGCTTTCTGTAGCCGGGTTCGGACGAGTTGGATGTCCGATTTGCTGAGCACGATTCGGTTCGGTTTGTCCGGCGTCCCGGGGAGGACTATGAAGCCGAGGATCCCGACGGGGATGGTGATCACCGCGCAGATGATGTACATCCAGCGCCATCCGGCGAGGCCGTTGACTCCGTCGAGTTGTGCCGATGCGCCCGCTTGGATGAAACTGGCTGTTAGCGTGCCTAGGGTTAGGCCGAGGTAGAAGAAGCCCCCGCGCCGGGCGATTTCGTGGCTTTGGTACCATGATCCTTGCAGATGTCAGTACTTCTTGGAGTGTGGTTCTGGTGCGTAGACGTACCGAAAATGTAATGCATTCCGGGGAAGAAGGCGGCCTGTGAAATGTCAATTGTTTAGTGCAGATGAGGTAGGAGTATGGGTTGGGGTATACCTCGAACCATCCTACTAAGAAGCGATATGCCATCATCTCTTCATACGAAGTGGCGCGGTATTGCAGCAGGGTGAAGACTCCCCAGAGTAAGTCCATCCCCGGGATCAGGTACGAGATGGGGTATTTGGTGAACAGATAAGCAAATGGGAGTTGGCCTAGGACGGCACCAACGGTGTAGATAGTTTGCAGGTTGACGAGATCATTTCCCTGTAGGTTGAGGGATTCCTCCATTCCAGAGACGTAGGCATTGTCTGTTGGCAAACATTAGTATTGTTATCATTGTACCAATTGAAGTACCGATTTGTGGACTCACTGATATTTGCCTGATCGATATACTTCGTCCAGTAAGCGAGGAAAGCATAAGGAACAATGAGAAGGTCAAGTTTCAAGAGCAGACGTCGTTCCGATGGTGAGTCGTCCGGCGAGAACCATCGTATCCGGGGAAATCTCTTATTAGCGAACATTGTGATGTTTTTGTTCTGAGTATAGTTTAAAGTTGTATAGAAGTTAACGAGTGATGCAGACCATTGATATATCTACAATGCGTTGGCAGATGCTTGGAGACGTCGATGTCACCATAGCATTGCTTGTATTACGTGACAACAACTGCCTATCTCCTGCATCTTCCTGCAGCTGCATGTCTCGTGTAAATCTCCAGATGGTGAGTCTATTCTTCCTGCCTATCGGTTTAATGTGACTGGATGACAGCAAGAAGCTTGAATTGTCTGTGCGGTGTGGGGATCAGTACGGGTGGTGTCAATGGGGGGTAAGAAGGCGTGCTTCTTGGGTGAGTGGTTATAGCACTAGCGAGTGGAGCAGATAGGATGTTGATTGCTTGGTCGGGATGAGGTGATTTGTGAGATACGACGATGTCTAGTGACCAATGGTATCCAAAGAACTGAGTGTTTCCTTTTGTGAATAGTTCTGTGTCCGTTATCTGATCATCCGTCAGTGATATAAGCGCTCAATCCTAAGACAGGCTTTTGCGGTATAATTTCTGGCATTTCCAGGATGGTAATGAGCTTTAATGTGTGCTGCAAAGTATACATTGAAACCAGTAGAGTCATATGAAACCAAGGTGCTTCGTTCA